ACATATTACAATATTTTATTTATTTGTTTATTCATTTGGATTATTTTTATTTTCATTCTTTAAAATTCATGTTTATCTATTCCATCACGTAAAACTGTAGTGGATTCCTCCCCTTCAAAAGCCGCTTGTCACTGACTAGCCGACCCTCGAATTCCCCAGGATGGAGGAGAAACATCTCATAACCCCACAAATGGTGACCCCGGAGATTCGCACTCACACAGGATGGAGGAGAAACATCTCATGTAAACCCACAAATGGTGACCCCCGGAGATTTGCACTCACACAGGATGGAGGAGAAACCAATCACTCTCCCAGTCTAAAAGCAACATGGAAGACTGGCTTATCCACACAGAGGCAACTCTCATCGGCTCTACAGCTACTGTCTCTACACCGCAGGTTAGACACCCTAGAGCAGCACTGTTTCTCTAAGCAGACACCAGCTCCTCTTCCTACCCCAAGCACCACGTTCTACCGACCCCAGCACACCCGTCCTGCCTCCGACGCCGCCCCCGGCCCAGCAGTACCCCCTGCCGCTCATCCTGATGCAGCCCCTGCTCCCGACGCGGCCCATGCCCCTGAGTGCGGACCCACACACCCCTCTTTTTTCCCTCAGGTACTCCCTGCTCCTGACCCAGGCCCACACACCCCAGCAGGCGCATCTGACGACTCTGTACCTGCCGTGAGGGAAGCACAAGATTCATCGCCTCCACACACCCTTTTTCTCCCTCTCTACTCCCACAGATATTGTGTATCTAGACAGTTGTCTCTAGCGGCCGGCTCATCTACTCCCTCGCCGTTATGTTTCACATGAGGCATGCACCGCCTTTCTGCCGCACATGTGCCATGCAACCCTGCAGACAACAAGTCTCCTACACCGCCTGGAGGGAAGGAGGGAGTATTGTAGTGGATTTCTCCCCGACAAACGCTGTTTGTTGCTGAGTAGCCGACCCCACGAATTCCCCAGTGTATGCCTCGTGGTCTAGGTCAACCAGCGCCGCCCACGGAGCGGGGGTCAACTACTAAGCCACGCTTACCCCCCGCTATTAAAGACCTGACCTCGTGGTGATCTCTCTCTTTCTACCTACACCAACCAGCAAGCAACACCTCCTCCTCCTCCGCCCGCCTGGCGGTCCTCGCTCCCGCCAGAGAGCATGGCGACCCACAAGCTGGTCCTCCTCTGAGCATCCTCACCAACCAGCTCCCTCTTCTTCTAGCTACAGCCGCAGCAAGCAACACCACCTCCTCTGCCGCTGCCTGGCAGCCCTCGCTCCCGCCGGCGAGCATGGCGACCCACAAGCTGTCCTCCTCTGAGCATCCTCACCAACCAGCTCTCTCTACATCACGCTTGTAACCACACTGCCACTTCCCAGCACCAAGCTACATTGTACATCCAATACAACATATATACAGAGAGCACATTGTGAGTTTCCTTTCTCCATCCCATCCTGAGTGTGAACCAAACAAACCAAACCCCACAAGGTAGAGGACCATACAGTAAACATACAGATTAATGTTTACAGTGGAGTTCACGTAGATCTTTGCATTGAGGTGTTGAACAGCAAACACTAGTGTAGTAACTCCCTCATAGATGGTGCTATGAGGGGCATCACGTGGTGTAGTAGTTCTCTCGAGTGTAGGACAAAAGTCCCCCAGGAGAAATAATAAAAACGTTTAAAATAATTATTGTATTTTTTTACAGTTTATGAACACTTCTTTAGCCTGACCTAAAATAACTTAACCTTACCTAACCTAACCTTTGGGAATTCTGTTATAGTTATAAAGATAAAGAAGTATACAAGGAATGTTTATTAAATCTGCAATGACGTATGTTTTGTCTGTTGGGGTAATTATTCCCCTGACATTGAGTGACCTCACTGGGCCCTAGGGTCACCTCAGTAAATACAGAATGAACATGAAGGTAAAATATGTCGTCTTTTTTCTTTTCTATTTATTTAATAATGTTCTATATCAAAATTGAAAGAGTTATAATATTCTAATTATTTAAGTTGTAATAATTTCATATTTAAATCTATATATTTTTATATTTCTAATGACCCTCTCTTTAACATAAAAACAAGAGGTTTCTGTCCTATTTTGCACTTTTACTGAGGGGCTTTTGTCTGGGCCCCGTTCCCTCACAGGTGGTGTTTTGAGGGGCCTGATGTGGTGTAGTAATTCCCTCACAGATGGTGTTATGAGGGGCCTCACATGGTGTAGTAAATCCCTCACAGATGGTGTTATGAGGGACTAGACACGGTGTTGTAATTCCCTCACAGATGGTGTTATGAGGGGCTTCACGTGGTGCAGTAATTCCCTCACAGATGGTGTTATGAGGGGCTTGATGTGGTGCAGTAATTCCCTCACAGATGGTGTTATGAGGGGCTTGACGTGGTGCAGTAATTCCCTCACAGATGGTGTTATGAGGGGCTTGACATGGTGCAGTAATTCCCTCACAGATGGTGTTATGAGGGGCCTCACATGGTGTAGCAATTCCCTCACAGATGGTGTTATGAGGGGCTTGACCTGGTGCAGTAATTCCCTCACAGATGGTGTTATGAGGGGCCTCACATGGTGTAGCAATTCCCTCACAGATGGTAAGCAGTGAGGGGCTGGATTTAGTGCAATTCCCTCATGATGGTAAGCAGGCGTTTATATGGCAGCACTCCCCACAGATGTGTGCCAGAGGGCTCCTCACATGGTGTAGCAATTCTCACAGATGGTAAGCAGGAGGGGTCACATGTGGCAGTAATTCCCTCACAGATGGTGTGCTGAGGCTTGACATGGTGCAGTAATTCCTCACAGATGGTGTTATGAGGGGCCTCATGGTAGCACCTCACAGATGGTGTTATGAGGGGCTTGACGTGGTGCAGTAATTTCATGCAGATGGTGTTATGAGGGCCTCTACATGGTGTAGCAATTCCCACAGGATGGTAAGCTATGAGGCTTGACGTAGTGCAGCAATTCCTCACAGATGGTGTTGTAAGGGGCTTATGCAGTAATTCCTCTACAGATGCGTGAGGGCCTCTACATTGGTGTGCAGTAATTCCCTCACAGATGGTGTTATGAGGGGCTTGACGTGGTGCAGTAATTCCCTCACAGGTGGTGTTATGAGGGGCTTGACATGGTGCAGTAATTCCCTCACAGATGGTGTTATGAGGGGCCTCACATGGTGTAGCAATTCCCTCACAGATGGTGTTATGAGGGGCTTGACCTGGTGCAGTAATTCCCTCACAGATGGTGTTATGAGGGGCTTGACATGGTGCAGCAATTCCCCTACAGATGGTAAGGTGAGTCTCTACATGGTGTAGCAATTCCCTCACAGATGGTGTTATGAGGGGCTTGACATGGTGCAGTAATTCCCTCACAGATGGTGTTATGAGGGGCTTGATGTGGTGTAATAATTCCCTCACAGATGGTGTTATGAGGGGCTTGACGTGGTGCAGTAATTCCCTCACAGATGGTGTTATGAGGGGCCTCACTTGGTGTAGTAATTCCCTCACAGATGGTGTTATGAGGGGCTTGTCGTGGTGTAGTAATTCCCTCACAGATGGTGTTGTGAGGGACCTGATATGGTGTAGTAATTGTAGTAATTCCCTCACAGATGTTGTTATGAGGAACCTCATATGATGCTGCAGCGAATCCAGGAAAAAAAGTCACAAGAAAAAAGTCACAGATAAAAAGGAATGGAAAAAACCTAACCTAACCTAACTTAACCTAACCTATGTGCAATGCCATCATATATATATATATATATATATATATATATATATATATATATATATATATATATATATATATATATATATATATATATATATATATATATATATATATATATATATATATATATATATATATATATATATATATATATATATATATATATATATATATATATATATATATATATATATATATATTGTGTTGTCAGTGTGTACAAGTCATGTGAGTTTATTTCCGTCCACCGCTGTAGCAACTCATTCACTACGTGGTGTCGTCGCATCCTGGGGACACCACGTTGTCTGGTGTCACAGGACCTCACTCACTTAAGTGAGTGTGGTCCCAGGCATAATTTCCAACTAGACATAATCCTGACAGCTCTGTCCTCTTGTTCAACCTTATTACTGTACAATCCATGTTGTACTGCTCCCCCTACCCCATTATACTTATGTTTTTCAATTCCACTGTAATTTATGTATATATAAATAAACTAAAAAAAAGTAAATAAATAAATATTGAAGTGATAACCGTGGTAGCATTATGAGATGTTCTTATTACCACCATGCTATTGTACTATTCCAGATGATACTAAATGTTACATAATACTTCTATGAGATAAATGTATAGTATATATCAGGTGCCTAAAAGAGAGCTCAGGTTCTCAACTGATTCAGCCATGTTAATTTAGTTATTATTATCCACTCTGCATCTGTGTTTTTTTCTGGCTAAATAAACAGTGTGAAGGTTAGCTTGGGTACGACTCGGCTGTTACTGTTGAGTTGTTTTCCACTGACTTAAGCACTGTTCACCACTTTTCAACACTGGTTCCATTCCTTTCCTAAATTAAATATTAACTTCTGGCGAGAACTTGTTCCGGTGGGGAGGAAAGTTCAGGAGAGGGAGTTGGTATGGGCCAACATAACAGTTGACCTGGCTGCTGCCAGAGCAGTGCCAGGAACGCCTTGACCCTTCGGTAAGTGTGTTATTGAATAGGACAACCAAAATTTATTTGTCCTATGTGTCCAGATATCTTATCAGGTAGAGAGGAGGTGAAAACATAGGGCCATCCTAGAAGGAGCCGCCAGTCTGTGACATGATAGGTGCGGCAGGAGGTAAAGGTAAAAGACAAGAAAGTTTTTATATTGGGTTTATTATTAACACGATTCATATTCATTCCACAAATATTTGTTTGAAACTTCCCAACAAAAGAAATATTACATCAGGTGTCCATTAGCTATCAAGGTCATAATAACAGGTCCTTGACCTCACCCATCCTAAGGAGGAAGGAACACAACTTTTGTTTTTCTTTGTAATTGGGCGAGAGAAGACGACTGTTTATGGTACAGATTTAGTTTTGACATTTTTATTATATTTTGTAACTGAGTCAGATTACAGAAACGTTGATAGACTGTACGAGGATTTGAGTGTCTGTGACGAACAGATATCATACGTTTACTTCTGGATTATCGATATGATCCATTCCTTGAACATGGCCACATTAGTGTAGACACCTGGGTATCCAAGTCTACCACACCCTCGACCGAAGCTCACCAATCCTATGAGCGTCCAAACGCCGTCCACCTCCTGCAATAAAGGTCCTCCTGAGTCACCCGTGCAAGCGTCGCGACCGTAAGCCCCGACACACAGCATATTGTCAGTGAATTTCCTCCCGTACACCTTACAGGCGTCAGGCGGCAGAATATCGATGTCAACTTCTTGTAAAAAAGCAGCGCCCAAGGGAATGTCTTCTGCAAGGAAACCCCAGCCCAACACAGTGGCCGAACCATTCACAGCTTGGTTTTCATTCATTGGGAGACACACAGGAGACGTATATACATCAAAGACGTCAGTACTTAGAGTCACGACGGCCAAGTCAATGTCATTTATCATGTAGTATTGGTACATGTCGTGGATGTCGATGGACGAAACACCAATGCCTCGTCCGTCTACAAGAGTCGTGGCCCCAACTACCACTTGCAGACTATACTCGGAAAACCAGGACATGTAGGGAAGCACACAGTGGGCGGCCGTCACGACATGCCTGGAACTGACGAGGGCGCCCCCACAAAAGTGCTCCAGTTTGTCTGTGCGAAGACTTACAACCCAGGGCCAGGAATGGGGCGTCGACGTCCTACCTCCGACGATCCTGGATGTTGCTCGGAGACCGCAGGAGACCGGGAATTTAACAGTAGGTCGTGAGGGAGGCGCGGAAAAGATTGTTGTGAACCAGGAGATGAAAAAAGCGGAGGTAGGAGCAGACAACGACATCAACACCACCAGCCGAAACATCCCCCACATAATGCACTCAAAAGTTCACTAAAAACGCAGTCACGTACACAGATCTTATTTTTGTGAGTGAATATGTCTCAGTTCTGAAGATTAAAGTGTTCCAGCTTTAAGGGTTAAAAATTTTCAGAAGAAACACTGGCAGAACACTGGAGCTGTAAAATGAATGGTGTCGTTGGTTGAAATGATGCGCTCTCCTTCTCACCACGCTCATATATACCTGTACACCTGACCTAACCGCGTGAACCTGTCTCCAGAGAGGCGCTGATGCTTACTCTTACCTAACCTCAACAGTACTATAAAATGCAGTAATTTTCGAACAACATAATGCCACTTGAAAATAATTTGGCTGTCCGAGTTTTATAGTTTTATAAACAAAATCCATACTTACACCCGAAACATGATTAAAATGGAGCACATCATACAAAATTATACAACTGACATTAATTATAGTGCTATTTTATTATACATTAATTTATAACTCACGGAGTGATTAGTGGCCAAAGGATTAGTTTTCACTTTAAATTAACCTGACTTAAATGTGAATTTATCTTAGTATCATACGTATCACGTGAAGCTTACTGACGTTACATTTCATCAGAATTATAAAGTAACGAAATAAATTTACTTGAGTACTGTACGCAAGTAACAGTTTCGGGTATGTACTTTTTAAAAAGTACCATTTTTATTACTTTTACGTAAGTATGGTTTTCTAATACTCTTACTCCAATACAATTGAAAACAAAAACAAAAATGTTACTCGTTACATGCCCCAAACAAACAAACAAACAGTTTTAATGACTGGCAAACTAATAATATTTTTCTTAATTAATTAACTAATTATTAACCATAATAAAAGAGTTGTGTGGGTGAAGCCATGAAGGGTACGGTGTGGGTGTGGGGAGACACCACGCGGTCACATAGCTAGAGGTATCGTGAGGTTAAGTGACGTCAGGTCAGGTGGCAGTGGCCATGACTTTTTTACTTTTATCCTCTTCGCCACTGATCGGCTTGTTAGCCGCTTGGGCGATCGGTCACGACTCTTTTCCTTTATATTCTTCACCAAAAGGTCGGCTCGCTAGCCGCCCGGGCGATCGGTCACGTCTCTGTCACGCACTGTTGGCAAATACTGGGCATGCACCGGCTCCTGAATGTACCTGAACCCGCTCCAGTGTTGGTCAAGTCTTGTCTTGAAAGAGCTCGCACTCAGTGCCGTCACAACACTCTCTGGTAGATTGTTCCAAGAGTTTACAACTCTCACTCCGAAAAAGTTTGCCCTCACAGCTCCAAGTAAGGACACTCGACTGAGTAGTGCCCCCTGAGATGCTTATACACCTCAACTAGGTCACCCCTTGCCCGTCTGTAGTATAAGCTAGGCAAGTTCAGGCGCTCCAATCTCTCAGGGTAGCTGTGATGCCGAAGTGCAGGCACCAGTCTGGTGGCCCTCCTTTGAACATTTTCAACCAACTGACAGCCCCTAGCATATCTCGGGGACCAGACGGGGTGACAGCACTCCACATGGGGAAGCACTTCACTCCTGAAGATCATTATTTTACCTAATTCCATCTAAGATATAAACAGGTATCTAGACATATGTGCGAGACTGATTGTATTTAAATTTCTGCTAAAATAACCCGCCAGATGCTACTTTTACTTTTACTTTTATCCTCTTCGCCACTGATCGGCTTGTTAGCCGCTTGGGCGATCGGTCACGTCTCTTTTCCTTTATATTCTTCACCAAAAGGTCGGCTCGCTAGCCGCCCGGGCGATCGGTCACGTCTCTGTCACGCACTGTTGGCAAATACTGGGCATGCACCGGCTCCTGAATGTACCTGAACCCGCTCCAGTGTTGGTCAAGTCTTCTCTTGAAAGAGCTCACACTCGGTGCCGTCACAACACTTTCTGGTAGATTGTTCCAAGAGTTTACAACCCTCACTCCGTAAAAGTTTGCCCTCACGGTTTTCCGGACTTGCAGCTTCTTCAATCTTGAGCTGTGACCCCTTGTGGGGCGAGCGTCCGCCAGCTCCAAGTAAGGACACTCAACTGAGTAGTGCCCCCTGAGATGCTTATAAACCTCAACTAGGTCCCCCCTTGCCCGTCTGTAGTATAAGCTAGGCAAGTTCAGGCCCTCCAATCTCGCAGGGTAGCTGAGATGCCGAAGTGCAGGCACCAGCTTGGTGGCCCTCCTTTGAACATTTTCAACCAACTGACAGTCCCTAGCATATCTCGGGGACCAGATGGGGTGACAGTACTCCAGATGGGGAAGCACTTCACTCCTGAAGATCGTCACGAGGGACGGACCGTCTAGATATCTGAACGACCTTCTTATAAGACCCAATAATTTATTTGCCTGATTTACCTTCTTCTCACAATGGCCCGAGAACTTCAGCTCATTGTCAACATACACACCTAGGTCCTCCTCACACACAGTCTCAACTAGTACATTTTCTTCATCCCGTTGGGACATATGGTACGCCTCCTTACCGTTGGTACGCCCCAGGTGCATCCTCTTACACTTCGTGACATTGGATCTCAGCAGCCATTCCTTCGACCATTCCTGGAGCCCACAGAGGTCCTTCTGCAGCTCTTCACAGTCCGCTTGGTTCTTAATTTCCCGAAATAACTTGGCGTCATCGGCAAACATTTGTATGGAGGAGTGTACAACGTCAGGCATATCATTTATGAAACAAACAAACAACAGCGGGCCCAATACACTACCCTGCGGTACCCCACTTGTTACAGGTACAGATGACGATTTCGTGCCATTAATCACCACACATTGCTTGCGGTCATGTAGAAAGTCTTCTATCCACGCTAGGACATTTCCCCGAATTCCGTACCCTTCCAGTTTGATTTTCAGCCTTTCGTGGGGTACACTGTCGAAAACCTTGGCAAAATCTAGGTAAATATTGTCAATATTACCACCCCGTTCTAGAATATGGGTCCAAATATCCAATACCTTGAGCAATTGTGTCAAGCAAGAGCGCCCCGGCATAAAACCGTGTTGGCAATCTTTTACAAGGTTGTTTCGTAGTAGATGTTCCATCGCTGCATCTCTGATAATACTCTCAAGTACTTTACATATTATGCTGGTCAGGCTCACCGGTCTATAGTTGTTCGTGGAGTGACTATCGCCCTTCTTGAAGATAGGACTCACATAAGCCACTTTCCATTCACTGGGGACCATTTGTTCATCCAGGCATTTACAAAATAGAATCTTCAGGGCTCTGCAAGCTCGTTGCACAGCTCTCTTAGCACTCTAGGATGCACCATGTCAGGTCCGGGACTCTTATGGACCTTTAGCCTGGACAGTTTGTTTCTAATACCCTCTTCTGTGAACACAATGCGGGTCAGTGCTGTGTCGAACCGTCTGTCCTCAAACGCAGGAAGGTTAGTTGCATCCTCTCTTGTGAACACTGAGGAAAAGAAGCTGTTCAATGCCTCAACTTTATCCTGGTCAGAATCTGCGTAACTACCATCTTCAAGCCTCAGGTCTGATACTCCTACTCGCTACGTGGTGCAGAATTCAGCCACTCAGCCTCCAGGGGGGAGGGTAGTGGAAACAAGTGTGCCGACACAGGGCCAGGGGGCAGCAGTGCACCCTCCACCCACTCAACCCCCCACCCAGGAGGCGGCACCAGCTCAGCCTACCGGACAGGAGGGAACGAGCGCCGTGTAAACAATGACATTTTTAACCACACCCTGCAAAATACAGTGTACTTAGCAAATGCTGCAGCTTCTGAGAATGTGGGTGGAGCGGGTTTATTACTAAGAGCAGAGACGTTACCGAGAACAAATTCTGGCTTGAATGTCATGTGCACTAATACTGACACGTTCCTTGATAAGAGAGAGGAGTTTGAAACACTACTAAGAGTACACCAACCAGATATTGTAGGAGTTGTAGAACTGTTGTACAAGAACAGGAGAATCGACCCAGAGGAATGTGAGTTCAGTATTGCTGGATATGACTCATTTACGAACCTAACTCAAGAATCCTGCAGGAGGGGTGTGGTTATCTACGCTAGGCAAGACCTTAGAGCCAGCCAGGCGAGGGTACAGGGAGAGGATGTTTTTGAAGAGTCCAAGTGGTGTAAAATTAAATTAAGGGGAGGGGACTTACTTATCGTCGGGTGTATCTACAGATCCCCGAACTGTGGCCCACTAAATCAAAGGAACTTAAGAACCTTAATAAACAATGCGGCGATGCTCAACCCCAGCCACCTCCTTATCATGGGGGACTTTAACTATGGCGACATCGACTGGAGAAACGAGTCAACCCCGAATGACTTGAATAATC